ATTGCGCTAGGTCTATAGCAGTTTAAATAGTACCATAAATCACAATACATCTCTATCTCAAGAATTATTGGTTGTTCCGGGGCTCATTCTTGACCACGTGGACCTGAATGTTGCTTTTATAGCTCCAGAAAAATATGTGTTTTCTTTGTTTAGTTCTTGCGCTTTTGCTCCTCTCCCCCCGGTGCAGTCTGTGTGAGTGTTTGATATGAAAAGTGCCTTTGGATTCTGAATAAAGCAGCACTCAAACACTGGATGAACAACGCAGACAGAGAGAAATATTTATCTGCTTAAGCATCGTCACCTGCAGGCTCATCTCACACACACAAATATAATAATATGGTAATGCACATGGTTGCTAAGCGATGGCTTCTTTAGCATCGGAATACAAGCTGTTTCTCACTTTCATCTGTTTTCCTCTGATGCCGTCGGGTCATTGCCGCAGCCGCCTACACCTCAGCAGCCAATTACCGCAGCTCGCCGTTTGACTATAGTCTGAAAGTTAAACCAAACTTTCTTTTTTATTTTTGTTTTGCGTCTTCTTTCAAATGCAAATGCAGTGTGGATTCGGAAAGCAGCATTGGCAGAAAAGGTGAGATAGAATAATGGAGCGCAGTATGGTGCCTTGAAATGAATGGTTGTGTTTACTAAAAGGAACTAGATGAAGATTCCAATGTCTGTTCAATGCAAATCAACAATTTGTACGGTCTTAAACATGGTCAAAACCACATTAATTAAAACAGTAAGCTAACAATCCTTGCACTTCAAATAAAAATTTGGAAAGTGATAAAACTGATATTTCAACATAGAAGGTTTAGCTTGAGTTTTATTGAAGTATTTTGGGCAGGTGGGGATGCAACTATATGGGAAAGAGGCCATTTTTGAAAGAAAAAAAACAATGGTCAAATGTTTTTCCCCAATCATTGTTTAATAGAGATTTCATAAACCTACAGTGTGCTTCTTTTAATAATAATTAAGTGGTTTTATACATCGCTTTTCAGGACACTCAAAGATGCTTCATATGTCATTATACTTTCCTTCACGCTCTAAGGCCAATGCTTTACCAACTGAGCCACTGTTGCCCCAATGTCGCCACAGCCGCCCTAAGGCACACTGACTGAAGTGAGGCAACCAGTATGTGACCTCTCTGACAGCACCAGCCATTCACACACACACAAGGCTCATTCTAGGCTAATGACAGCCGCAGCCGCCCCACTGCGGCACCTGGCGTTCCCAGAGGTCTCCCATCACAGTACTAACCAGGCCATGCCATGCTTAGCTTCATAGAACTTACAGGGTCTGGCTCTCACATGCAGGTGTGACCACTTATGTCTGAAAGTCCGTTCTGCTGACAGTGGCTAACAGCAAACTTTTTTTTTTTATTATTGTTACTATTTACTACCAAACTGAGATACATTTTCCAAATCAACAAGTCGATATTTCCAAACTCACACTTTATCCTTGAAGTGAAACAACCCAATCCACAAACGAGACTTTGCTTTCCCCTAAATGAGACTTGGCTCTTACTATTAAACATTTAAAGAAGCAGATGGTCACGAACACCTTTTGAACGGAAGACCTGTCCATGCGGGTTAATCCAGTTAATCCATCCCAATGAACTCTCCAGAGAACCTGCAGCCTCAAAGACCACCTCCACAAAACTGCACTTTAAAAACCCTCTGTTGAAAATGTGCCCGCTCACAAGTCATTTGGTATTTGTTTACATTTTGGACGTTCTATCTGTTAATTTTGACTAATTTTGAGAAACAAAGAAACCTATATAGACACTGTGGATTGTTTTTGGACGCAACCTGGTAGGCAATGCAAATATATTACTCAATTACATGGGAAAAAATGCCTACATTGTCTTTACAAATTTAGGTATTTTAGCTGCGTGAAAAAAAAACAGGAGATAAAGGCACTATATTTAGAAGCAACAGATGGATTTATTTATTTGTTTATGTGAATGGGGCAGTGCACATGTGTCCCTGTACAAATGCCAGATTTAGCCACAAAGGCGAGTTTCCATCTTTCGTAATGAATCTGTTTTGAACTGTTTATGTTTTCAAACCCTCATTTTAAGTTTTAAGGCCTTTATTTTATTATATCTTATTATGCAGTATGAAATTATTGTATATTGCTGAATCTCTATTTCCTTTTTGATTAGTTTTTTATGCATTTTGATTTGTCTTCAATTACTCTTTATTTGCGTTATAGGTAACAGGAAGTCACAAACTGGGAATAAGCTATGGCTCCAGGTGCAAACAAGTAAAAATAGATAAAAGGCATGCATTCAAATCTTCATTACATTTCTTAAAATTACTACTATATACAGAGAGACAGATAGATAGATATAAAGACACATTACTGATAGTTATCTACAAATGACAGCGAAACAAAGTGTATCTTTTTGATCGTGGCCGGTGGAGGAAGCCGCTGCTGTGGCATTGAGCGACAGATCGAGAGACAGTTGATCCGTGTAAGAACCGTAAGAACCACTAGCCAGACTGTCAAATCAGCCCCGAGAGTCCGCACTCCTCTGTCTCGGACACTTTAGGAGCAGGAATGTCACACAGGCCTTTAAAGGGAGAGCAGAAAGGCCGAAGCAGCTAGCAGCCAGCAGCACGCGTACACAAACCCCAACCAGGAGGAGCGTCAGGAGACATAGATACTAATGGCGGCATATGGCACTTTCATGTGAGCTCGTAGAGTTGTAAACACATATGGGAACGCACAGGTCACATGGGCGGACGGGACTATAGCCAAGCACTGAACAACCATGTGTGTTTTTGATGCTAAAGTAAAGTTAGAGATTGCTCCTCATTCCTACTGTTCAATAACTTCTAAAATAAAGGATCTCTTCATTTTAATCCATGGAAAAGGACAATGTATCAACTGGGGCTGCATGTGCCAAAAATCAAAAAGATCAGAAATTTGAAATCCCTACATTTCTCTATCTCAATATTCGACATGTGCACAGATACAACACTCTCACTTCTCAGCAAGAAGGTCCTGGGTTCGAATCCCGGTCGGAACAGGGTCTTTCTGAGTGGAGTTTGCATGTTCTCCCCATGCCTGCCTAGGTTTCCTCCAGGTGCTCTGGTTTTCCCCTACCACTGAAAACATACTCACTAGATAAATCCTCCAGCTCCGTTCCTGACCCAAGCCGAGCATCCACATCTGGAGATGGGTTCCCGGGCGCTGTTACTACGGCGACCACTGCTCCTGGCCTAAGCCTTTGCAACATCAGGATGGGTCAAATGCAGAGGATGTAATGCCCTACGGGGATTAATAAAAAGTGCACCGTTCCTTATTGTGTATAGAAAAGCACTAAAGTAGCTCCACCCTATATTAGTCGAATTTAAGCAGAGGCACCTCACTTTTTTTCTTGACGCTTTGGGCTGTGATCTGATTGGCTGAGATTTAAATTAAGAAAACCTTTATTCGGGGCGACATTTCAATTCAATTCAATTCATTCTTGTCTCGCCCCAAAATCACAACAGTAGATATTTCTGAGGACTGACAAATTCGGCAAAACAGAATCAAAGAGTTGAAACACAGGAAATGCAACGATTTCAGTGTTGCGTCACAAGTTACAGCACAGAAGGAATAAGCAGCACACAACACAAGAGCAGAAATATCCTAATTAAGATTATAATACATACTAATTACAATAATATAAAGGTATAGACCAGTTTACTGTAAAGACATATACTTGTATGTATACATCTATAGAGAAGAGATACACTCATTATTAGGCTGAAGACAAAAATCACTGTTTTTGGAGTCAGAACTGAGCCAGGGACACACGGCATATATATTTCATGTTTGCCTCAAAGCTGTTGTACTCATAAACAATCCAAATGCTTTTTCCTAACAGAATCGGTTTTGTGAAAGTGTAATCTCATTAGAAAACATGTTGTTCTTTGTATACTTCGGAAGTTTTAGGCTGGGAGCTGATTGTCTGAATTGATCTACAGATGTGACAGAGCCAAAACAAAATTCTAATTAGTGATAGAACCAGACAGTTTTGAGAGCCATAAACTAGTGCCATGGATTATACGACATACTTCCATTATTTTGTGTTTTGAGCGTCACGTACCCCTGCTTTAAACATGTACAATTCTACTCCTGCCTGTCCTCAAGTATAAAACAATATAAAAAAAATAACGAAATGTTATGGAAAAATTGAGATTGGTCCATGCTTATTTGTTATTGCTAAAGAGGTACTTTCCATCCGCAGTCCCTTGTGTTCAGGAACAAACAAAACACAACAACAATAAATATGATATTATAATATGATTCCTCTGGAGACTCACACAACATCATGTATGACCACACATCTCTGTCAAAATAGGAAAATTATTAAGAAAAACAAAATTGGTACAAGGATAGAAAGAGGTAAAGTAACGGTAGGTACTGACAAAAAGTTATGATAAATATGTCAAAAATATCTTAAATTTGGCAAAATGTATCTTAATTTGAGCACATTTTGACACAGCACAATTGTTATGAGACAAATGGCTTTGTCCCGTTGGAAAATCTTTTATTAACTCACTCAGAATGTGCTCAAATGAACTCGATTCAAGCCTCATATTAGTGTTTTAATCCTTCACACTGACGATGTCTACTGTCTGTGGATAATCTAAACTCACTTCTATAACAGTTTGTGCACCTGTAAGCGCTGTTAGCAAGTCTGACAAAGCTATACATAGAAGGCAGCACTCAAGCCATAAATCCAAAAACCTATTTCTAAAATGCCAAAGTTCGACATCTCTTACTTTGTACCACCAGTGAAAATCTGCCTTTAAGATAAGAGAGCCTTTATTTGTCCCAGAGTGAGGAAATGTCATTGTTGCAGCGTACATAGAGGGCAGTAGTAATAGAACACAAAATATATAAATATAAGAAGCTGCTAGCTGTAAATGCTTCAATATCAATAAATCTTTGTGGATTGGTCCGCTCCAGACTGCCTGAATGTGTCTGTATAAAAGGGGTCTTACCAGTATAACGGGGGGATAATGCTCCTCGCAGTAGTACTCTTGCAATGCATTCTGGTCCAGGTCGGTCTGACTGGTGACTGCTTTCAGGCCCTTGTCCGAGCCGCACACCTTACACATCGCAACATTGCCCATGATGCTGCACAGGATCCAACGTCTATCCCATCAGAAGATAATAAGTGCATTTAATCACCGGGATAATCCTCCTCCAAAAACACACAACTTCTTCTACCCTCCCCCTAAAAAAAACCCTGAAGAAGAAGAAGACCACCATCCAACAGCAGCATACACTGTCGCTCTTGTACACTAACTGACCTGTCAGAGCTAACCCAGGCTGCTTCGGTTCCCACTCGCCTGCCATTGACAAACATCATCCAAACCCACCCCCCACCACCACTACCGCCTCCCTGCCCAGCTATTTTTACACCCACCAGCACAGATATGCATGTGGGGAGCGGGGAGGGCAGTGGGCAAAGGCCAGCGAGCCAAAACAGGAAGAGGGAGGAGCTAACAGTCATGCTCAGATATCAATATTTAAGATGTACAGTAACATTTGACGACCTGCATACAATACTTAATCAATAGGAGAATATCAATGGACCCAAGAACAACCCCTATGGAACAGCAGCTCAAAATTCCCAAATATTTACATTAACACTTCATCATGGGGTACAAATGGAAAACTTTAGGCTCTAGTCTAGAGTATTTTCAGACATGTGTAAGAGAGACAAAATATGGAGCCTCAAATTGTTCTATAAGACAGAAAGGACAAGTAAAATCTATAACAGAAAAGAAGAAAAAAACAATATGTGTAAAAAAAATGTAGGGAAACCTTTGTGGGAGGCCATGTCTCTGTATAGAAAGTGTCCTGTATTAAAGAAGAACTGTAGAAATTCTGCTATTTTGGTGTTAAAAGATAAACAATGTATTTCTACAACTACTGACAAGCTACATTAGTGAGTACCTTCCACTCAAGAGCTGTACACAAAAGAATCTAGTCTAAAGCCCCATTTCCACCAGCCCTACTTGGCCCAACTCTACTCTACCCTGATTTGGAGTGTTTTCACCGGCCCTGTTTGACCGGTACCAAATACTTTTTAGTACCTGCTTGGTCCCGGTTCGATCCAGGCCGAGCTGGCACTAAATTGTTATAACTGACTGACTGATTGGCCAGAGAGCTGCTAGGAGCCATGGCAACCAAAAATGTCTGGTTTACTGGTTTACTGCTGGGAAGGTTGCTAGGATACGGTACCAGATCCTTGTTTTGTTCAGCACTTTGAGTTGCCGTGTGCATGAACTGTGCTTTACAAATAAACCTGCCTGGAGTAGAGCCGAGTAGAGTAGAGTAGAGTAGAGTAGAGTAGAGTAGCGCTGGTGGTAACGGGAACAGGACCTTTCTGAGTGGAGTTTACATGTTCTCCCCGTGTCTGCATAGGTTTCCTCCAAGTGCTCCAGTTTCCCCTACTACTAAAACATGTACAATAGATATGAATGGAGTGAATGGATGGATGGTGTTGGTTGGAGGCTGTGATGCACCAGTGTGTTTGGCGTCTCGCTCCCGTCATCATCGTGTGGAGAGAATGGAAAAATATCTGATTTCTGAACATTGTAAAGCGCCTGTAAAAATGCGCTATATAAATAATCATTACTCACTGACTGACTTGCTACACTGGTTCGCAAAATATGCAACGCTTTCTCTTTTACATTGGTTTCGGTCCATTGACTAACACTAAATTCTGCAACGTCATCGCTATGAAGACTTTGTCACGGCTGTTTTGCTAAACAGTCAATCCACAATGTTTAGCTAATGCGGATATGTGTCAGCTGTAGCCCTGAGCGGAGACCTATTGATTTTGTCGTCGCTTTTGCAAATTAAAGTCGTGCAGACCTTTTCAAAGCAGCTGGTTGGTTCAACAAACCAACGCTTCCAGACAGAACGGAACAGAACAGGATTTTTTTTCATTCCTGTCTGTTTGGACCCGTGATCTGTGCGTGTTTTTGTCAAGGAGGGGAAAACATGCATGCTCTTAGAGGAGTTACACAATACTGCACTGTGCGGAGTATCAGGCCTACATCTCAGTCATAGAATACATTAGCGTAGGGAGAGAAGTGTCTTTTGTGCAGGAAACCACAGGGAACCTTCAGACACAGATGAGAAAGACGCGATCTGAGAGAATGTGAAATGACTTTGATAAACGTATGCAAGACACGCAATGTTAGCACCTGTTTATTGATTATTATGAACCAAGCTATGAGTCCACCAGGTGTATCATGGCTGAGAAAAGTTATTTTGGTCTCTGTTCAAAGTTCACATACTGAGCTAAACTAATACAAGAAAAACAAGGTATCTGTGCTGGGCTCCTGTGGCTCAGAATATACATATTAAAGCACAGGGACTGGCCTCCTGCTGGGACTCTGAGGAGCACAGGGACTGGCCTCGTGAAAATGTGAGACAGATCACGCCTCTGGCAATGTTTAAATCAGAGAGAACAGTCTTATTTAGCTGTGCATATGACTGTTTTTTGAAAATGTTAAATTTGATGTTGTATTTTGGATATTTTTACTTAATATTTTCACATGTGTTTTCAGTGTTTTTGTCTGTTTTTAAGTGACATTGTATAGAGTTTGGCCTGTGAAGAATTTTGGGTAACACTGTATGAATTGCGCTTTATAAATACACTTAATTGATTGATTGAACCACAAGAATTTCAGTTTAAAACTTATATTCAAAATTAAACTAGATTCTTGATTTTTGGTAAATTGTTAATTGTGGCTATTCCACCTTTGCCATTACACAAAAATACAAAAACACCTAATGAGAAAAAATGTATTAAAAACAACAGGAGATGATCAGCAAGCAATATATCTGCAATAATCGCAATTGTGAACAAGCAGGTTGGTTGTGCAAGTGAAAGCCGAGCAGACTGACCTCCTCCTCTTTCAAAATACCTAAAGCAGCTCCTCCGAGTGTTCATATTTCACAGACAGTTCACAGATCACACACACACACACACACACACACACGCACACACACTAAAATGAATACTTACATTGAGGTATTATATCATATTATTCCAACATCTATGCAACATTTGACGACCTGCATACAATACTTAAATGGGCCCAAGAACAACCCCTGTGGAACTCCAGCTCTAACTTCCTAAATACTGACTTTAAAACATCACTGCACACTATCATTACTAAGGACCGGCGGAATATATTGTGTGTGGAGTCCAACTTGTAAACAAACAAGTCTTTACCCAACAGCTGTGAGCCTTGTTAACCTTCCCCAGATCTAATTCACTTAGTGCCCAGTCCAATATCTTTTCCCTTGATCCAATTACACGGGACAAATGCAGCAAAACACATAGTTGAAAAAAGGTATCCTACATACTTCTCAAACTGCGAGTAATAATCAGAAACAATATATTAGAAGTGGTGGACTAACTGAAAGCTGACGTCACCCACAGTAATTGACGACTGCAGAAGAAGGAGATTTGATCATAAGCTAGCTGGAGCCAATTTTCTTATATTGGCCGTTGTCATTATGGGGTGACCTACGCGCCAGAGCAAGGACAAATGCAATCTGACGTGTTGCTAAGGCGAGCTGGAGTTTCTCCTGCAAATGAAGGCCTCTGATTGGTCACCATTTACGCCTCATATCTGGATTTACAAAGATATTATCAATCTGTAAACACCAGGATCACAGAGAGAGCTGAACCACAGATTATTTAAGTCCAAAACGGTGGTCGCAAACTGGGTCTTTATGAGTGGGGTTTGCTTGTTATCCCTGTGTCTGCGTAGGTTTCCTCCATGTGCACCAGGTAACCCCTACCACTAAAAACCTATACATTAGCCTCCCTCTCTTTAGGGGCCAGATTCCGAAATCTCAGTGGGCCTTTCCCGGTTATACAACAATAATGTAAGTCAACAGGAGCCAGAGCGAGTTGGATCAACACTTTGTGAGCTAGCAAGTTAGCATTGTCCATCTGTATATGTATGTATCTATGTGTGGTACTCCCCGAGGTTTCTCTTTTCCTCTCACTGGGATTTAGAATTTGTCTTTGCCGATGCAGGAGGGTCTAAGGACAGGGACGTCAACAACATTTATGGACACTGGTCTCTGCCGTTTATGGACCAGTGCCTCAAAGTGTTTTTACTGTGTTTGAACTGTTTGATTCTCTGATCTGTGTTGGCGAAATTGACATATTTGAAGTAATCTGAGATAACTACTGTACTGTTGTGATTTAGGACTGTACAAAACTGAATTGAATTGAAATGATTCAGATTCACATACTTCAATTATCCCATCAGGGGCAATTCGTTTGAGCAGCACAGGGCATAAAAATAAAAATAAAAACACAGGAAATGTCAGACAGTAAGCGATATGATACAATATGAAGTGGAGCCCATACAAACATATTCATAATACAGCAATATAAACTCAAACACCAAAAAGCTTCATAGAGTTCAGTCTGAAAGCGGTTGGTATGAAAGACTTTAATTGACGATTGGTTTTTCAATATGCTGCAACATAAGGTCGTCCTGATGGAAGCCAAGTGAACTAATCACACTGCAAAAAAATAACTAAAATAAGGTAATACATGCTTGAATCTTAATTTGAGCACATTTTAACTGCCTAAACCCAAGATTTGCCAACGGGACAAGCTAAAAGGTGTTCTTTGGAATGAGAAATAAATTGCAACAGCACTTTGATTCAAGCATGTTACCTTATATTTTGTCATTTTTTGCAGCGCATTCAAAACATGATCAATGGACAACAATATGATGCGAGCCTGTCTCATGACCTGCTGGTTACAGAGAGCTGACAGTTCCTTCTCTCCAACTCCAATGACTTTCCCAATGAAATGAAATGGAATTCAGTTTATGGTCATTAACCTGATGTCTCTGGTGGCAGATCCCGAGGCCCCTCCCCTCCCATGCCAGTCACTAATCCACCAGTTGGGGCAGACATACACAACAGCAAAACCTTTTAATCTGAGATCCACCATATGGCCCACTGCTGGAGAGAGGGAGGAGGGGCTTTGAAAACATCCATTCTGTGAGATTGTTGCGTGTTAAAGGAATAGTTCACCGTTTGTACATACTGACATATGTTCTTACCTTACCTTAGACTAGTTAATACGTACCTGTCTGGTCTTAGTCCGTGCGCTCTGTCATGCAAACGGAGCAAAAACTGGAGCACAACCGCAGCCTCCTCTGTATATTTTGTAGCACCAAAAGGTAGCTCCCGCTAGAAGCTACCAAACTCTTCCAAGTGTTCCCTATTAAATGTATATAGTTACGTGACGTGTTACACTGCAAAGTATAGTAACACAGAAATGTAACAGTCGATTTTCTCAGCGGATAAAACGGGTACTATATTGTGAGGCGTAGTAATCTGAGGTGCGCTACGTCCGCGCACTAACTTCTCTCCGGAGACTTCTCTCTCGCTCACTTCCGTCAATAGAAGCAGCGTGACTTGTAATACACACAGTAGCAGCGAGAGAGAAGTCTC